AAGAGAGAGAGAGAGAGAGAGAGAGAGAGAGAGAGAGAGAGAGAAGAGAGAGAAGAGAGAGAGAGAAGAGAGAGAGAGAAGAGAGAGAAGTAAAAGAGAGAGAGAGAAGAGAGAGAAGTAAAAGAGAGAAGTAGGAGACAGAGATAAATAAAGGAGATAAAAGAGAGGAACTGAAAAGATAGATAGATAGATAGATAGATAGATTTTACAGGGTGAACATTCTGCAATCTCTCAGAGAATTCCCTCCATACCTCAGCTTTGTATAGGGTCAGAAAGGGATTGAATAGAACAAGTTTGTATACAGAGAGTGGGTGAGAACATGCCACCTCTAGATAACATTATAAAATGTCACTTTGTATGGGATTTAACCCCTCAGCACCAACTTACAGGTGAGTGGCCCAGGCGGGGAGGTGATCTGGCAGCTCGGAGAGCCCCAGGTTGCTGCAGTCCACCGTGTCCCCGGTACAGGTGCAGCTGCCCGGACACGGGGCTCTGCCATCCAGACATAATCCGGCCAACACGTGAGAGAGCAGGCAGAGGGTCAGGAGCGGAGTCCTTCCTGCTCGGGGCTGCATGTTCTTATAATCCGCACTGGAGAGATCGGAGCTGCCAATGGAACAATAAGCGCCGCTGACGAGTCGCAGGTCCCTATAGCGATCCTTCCATGGTCCGGTCCCGGAGGGTGATCATCAGTCCCGGGGGATCCCTGGAATAGAGTCCTGGATAGAGGGATTTGGGGATGAGATCCTGAAGTCCCAGGCAGGGAGAGAGGGAGGGAAGCGGTGCAGGCGGACAGGCTGCAGTCACATCCAGCGCTCCGGACTCCACTATAGATCCCCTGGCACTCAGCTCCGCTCTGCTCTACAGCCCGGACTGCTGCGGCTACAACCCAGCCAGACAGCCGCCTTCCTATTGGCTGATTCTCTCCCACTCTCAGTAGCGGATGTGTCGCGGCCGCTGATTGGCTGGCGGCTCCCCCGTCCGCCCAGCGCTGATCTCGTAGACTTGGAAGTTTGTAACTTTCTTTTCCTTCGCCGTGTCGGACACATGGCTGGAGGAGGCGGCTACACACAGATGTCACTCCGTGCTGGGAGACCTCCGGGGTCACCTGTCACTCACAGCAGCTGACACTGCCAGGATTACAGACCCAGATACACAGAAGGAGCAATTAAAGCTGAGCTCCTGGCAATCCACTAAATACACACACAGAATACTTATATTGGAGGTGCGAGTCTGTGCATCCAGTCCTGAGATGTATACAGCTCTGCCTGGCTGATCTTTCTCTGCTGCAGTTTCACTTCCTCTTACAGGTCTTAAACTGGACAGTGAAAGGCATCATAGGGGTTTCTGTGCGTATTGAACGCGTTCGGATGCAAGGAAGTTTGCAAATAAGCTCACTGGCTTTGGCAAAGGAGCTCCCAAACAAAACAGGGCTCCCTTGCAGTGGCAGCACGTGGGTGACACCATCAAAAGGGGTAACACCAAATTGACTGGCAGTTATTTTGGTGCCACTCTCTCCGAAAAGTCAGGGATTCAGTCATGGACCGAGAGCCCGACAGCTGCACAAGAGAGAGGAGGGGACCCGGCCGCATACCTTATCCCGCCGGATGAATGTCCAGGAGATGTCCACCCAGTGGGGTCACGCGGGTGGGTGCGGCCCGCACCCGGGTGACACCATTGTAGGGGTGACACCAAAATGACTGACAATGATTTTGGTGTCAACCCCTCTAAAAAGTCGGGCACTCGGTCGTGGACCAAGAGCCCGACAGTGTCAGGAGAGACTCAGGGACCCAGCGGCATACCTCATCACGCCGGGTGAACGTCCCCTCCTCTCTCTGCCGGCGTCCATCACCAAGTTGTCGCCGGCAGGTATCAATCACATGGCCGCTCATACGTGATGACGTCATCGGGACACCATGACGGACTCGGGACGCCGGTGTCCACTTAGAGTTAAGTGCGTGTGACATCATTATGTGTGTGCGTAATGATGGCACGCACCTGGCATGGTGACACCTCTGCTCCCTTGTTGGGTACGCAGTGGAACGGAACACAGGCAAAGTTTTGCCACACGTCCGATCGCACTGCGTGCGGGGGGGGGTGGTTGGGTGGAAGCGGTGCCATTTAATTCAATTCCACGCCCCCTCCCGCCCCAGAACGCAAGCAGAAGTTTTGTGAGGGATTGCGGTGCGTTCCAGCAGCTTCCGCTCTGGAACGCACCGCATTCGGTGTGAACAAGCCCTAAAGGTGAATTTTGGGGAAAATTCAAAACTACCCTTGCAGTGCCCCCCCCCACACACACACTGCAAGGGTTAAATACTAGTTTTTGTCTTCTTACCTTATCCTTTGCTCCCACAGGCTTCCACCCCTTCCAACCGGTCCCCCAAAGCTGCTTCTCTTTACCGCTCTGTCAGTCTAAGGCTCTCTGACATCATCATGTGCGATGCAGGAGCTGCAGCGACCATTCCGAGAGCCCGCCCCCAACACGGGAGCATCAGAGGTAAGAGGAGAGCACCAGATGTCAGGGGAGGGATAAGGAAAGTAAAGCTTTTTAATGCTACCCTGGGCAAAAATGAGTATTTAACCCTTGACATGTGGAGGGAGCCCCACTGCAAGGGTTACCCTGGAGTTTAGCTTTACAGAGCAAGATTCTAACTAAGGTTTGTGAAGACTTGGCACAATAAATCTAAGCCCTGACGAAGGGGGAGCTGTGCATAAGCCATGAAACGCGTTTGAGGTGGCGCTGATGAGTATAGGAAATTCCTATAAGTGGCGCTGATGAGTTTTGGAACTTCCAATAGGTGGTGCTGATAAATATAGGAAATTCTTACAGGTGGCACTGACAAGTATAGGAAATTCCTATAGGTGATGCTGATGAGTGTTGGAAATTCCTGTTGATGGGTATAGGAAATTCCTATAGGTGGCGCTGATGAGTAAAGGAAATTCCTATAGGTGGCGCTGATGGGTAAAGGAAATTCCTATAGGTGGCGCTGATGAGTAAAGGAAATTCCTATAGGTGGTGCTGATGAGTATAGGAAATTCCTATAGGTGGCGCTGATGAGTATAGGAAATTCCTATAGGTGGCGCTGATGAGTATAGGAAATTCCTATAGGTGGCGCTGATGAGTAAAGGAAATTCCTATAGGTGGCGCTGATGAGTAAAGGAAATTCCTATATGTGGCACTGAGGAGGATAGGAAATTCCTATCGCAGGCT